TGCATTCACTCCCAACAAGGCTGCAAGCAACCACTATTAAGTTGGAAGTTACTAGGAGAAAAAAAAGAACAGAGTTATAGAGCAAGAAAACGGTTGACAGAATACTTGAAAAGTTGAAGGTTGTATGAGTCAGGAAAACATTAAGATGGGAGAGAGTTCCAAAGGATTGAAGTGCGGGGAAAAAAACTAGATGAATAAAAGTTTTTAGAGCATGCAGGGACAGATACAGTAAACGAGTGAGACTTAGCTGAATGACGAGTAAAACGAGAATGAATTTTAGTTGATGGAACTAGAGATAATAACTCCTTTGAGCAGTGACCATGATAGTATCTGTAGAAAAGAGAAAGAGATGCAACTTTACGACGATGGGAAAGAGGTTCAAGCTAAGCAGATAGTCCTGGTCCAACAACATTTACAATGCGTTTTTGGACCTTGTCAAGAAGAGAAAGTGAATCGTTAGAAGAACCAGTCCAAATATGACCACAGTATTCCATACAGGGACGAATAAGAGATTTGTAGAGGAAGAGAATGGAATCAGAAGTAAGGAAATGGCGAGCACGATAAATAGAAGCAACCTTAGCAGAAGCTAATTTAAAAATCGATTGTATATATGGTTTCCATGAAAGGTCAGTAGTAAGCAATAATCCAAGAAGACGTAAAGAGGAGGACTCAATAAGAGGATTGCCATTCATTAATATAAGAATGTTGACCATGTTACGGTAGTTATTTGCAGTAAGCAATTGGGTTTTTTTAGAGTTGAAATTCACAAGCCACTGTGAACCCCAATCTATTACTGAAGTGAGATCAGATTCAAGATCAGCTGCTTGTTCTAGGCGATCGAAAAGAGAAGACTTTTTGTCAAGACAGGAGTACAAAGTTGAGTCATCAGCAAAAAGAGCTACTTTAGATGAAAGGTTGTCAGGAAGATCGTTTATGTAGATAAGAAACAAAACAGGGCCCAGGATGGAACCTTTGGGAACCCCAGAAGTTACTGGAAATAAAGAAGAGTGTTGGCCTTCAAGGATGACTTTAATAAAAGGGTCAGAAAGAAATGATTTGATAATCTCAAAAACTTTCCCAGAAACACCATTTAAAGCAAGCTTATGGAGAAGATCAGCATGCCAAACTTTGTCGAAAGCTTTAGATATGTCGAGAGCAATAGCCCAAGCCTCACCGCCTCCATCTAATGCACAATAAAATCTTTCAGTTACAGCAGTTAGCAAGTCGGCCGTAGAGCGAGTGGATCGAAAACCGTATTGATTGTCTGACAGCAGTTTATTTGACTCAAGATGAGATGTGAGGAATTTGTTGATCAAAGACTCAAAGACCTTGCTAATAACAGAAAGAAGACTGATCGGACGATAATTGGAGGGGTCAGAATTTTCTCCAGAGTTTTTGAATATTGGAACCACAGATGCCATTTTTCAACAAGCAGGAAAACAAGACTCAGTCAAACACTTGTTAAATAGTTTAGAGAGAATTGAAGAAAGTTCTGGAGAACAATTCTGCAAGACTGTGACAGGAATGTTGTCTGGACTACAAGCTGTAGACGAGTTTAATTGAGGTATGACTTTAGCAACAGAAGCCGGAGTGATTTGAATGTCTAACAATGGGTCAACCTGTTTGACTGGAATGGAAGGAAGAGAATGTCCATAAAATTCAAGAGTGGAATTAGAAGAAAAGTTCTTTGCAAACAGTTCTGCCTTATCCCTGGGAGAGATAACAAGATCAGTCCCATGAATGAGAGATGGAATGTTAGATCTACCCTTGTTAACAATGCTGTTGAAGATTTTCCAAAAGTCTTTAGAGCCTAACTTCTGCGATAAGATGCGAGATTTAGTGAACTGAGAATAACGGAGTTTAGTATCAGAAAGCTCCTTTTTACATCAATTTCTTGCAATAATAAATAGCCGTTTGTTCTCAAGAGAGTTGTTCATTTGAAAAAGATGAAAAAAGTGATTACGATTGGATATAGCTGCCAAACAAGAAGGAGAAAACCATGGAGTAGACTGAGGCTTGACTTGAAACCGACGAGAAGGAATAAAAGCTTCCATTCCAGCCTGAATCCAGGAGGTTACGTAGGAGGCGCATTTGTCAGCTGAGAGAGAAAAAACATCAGCCCAAGGGCCATCACGAAGAAAATCACGAAAGGAATCCCAGTCAGCTTTAGGGTAGTAGTAGGTGGTGCGATGATGATGAACTCATCGGAACAAATGCAATTATAATTTGCCATGAGCGTTTCAAGTTATTTTAAATTTGTTAATTAGTTCTGAGTATTAATTTTTTTTTAGGCTTTTTTGTATTTTTTAAAATAGATATTTGTAGTTTTTATATATTTTTTCGCTAACAGATGTTGTTTTTTTTTAATCCCTTTGTAATCCAGGGACCTTTTGAGCTTTTATTATTTATTTTTTTTCAACAATTTGAAAATTAGCGTAGTAAACAGATAACCATGTTTTATAACATGTCTCGTATATGTTATTTGCATTGTCATCAAAATCAATATGATTCCAATGGAGTAAAGATAGCTGATTTTTAAATTATTCAAGATTTTTTTGTTTGAAAATACTTTTTTTTTATAACTATTGGGGTGTTTATATTTTTTTTATAAAATTGAGTTTAAAATTAGGAATATAGAAAAATGATCGGATATATCAGTTTTTATGAATACCTTTAATTGAATGCCTTTATTTATGTCTGTTGTAATGATATAATCTATTAGGGTAGCCGAGTTTATTGTTACCCTAGTGGGGCAATTAATTAAGGGTTATACACCGTGTTTCAAAAATTTTATCTTAAAAATTTTGAATTTTATGGTCATCGTTATAAAGAAAACAATTCATATTAAAGTCTTTAATTAAAAAACTTTTTTTTTTCTGCGCCACATGTTTCCACAATATGTTGTAAAAACGTGGAAGTATAAAACAGATGGAAGTTCATCGAGCAGCAAACATCAAAGCAATTTCAAGTCGTCTCGGGAGTATGCTTGTAACCGACAATAAAAAAAAAACAAGTTTCACTGGATAAAAAAACAACAAAATTCACTGAAATGATCTTTATTAAAACATTAAAAATTGAATTATTCTAGGGATATGCTGCAAATTTTTAACCATTAGTAATTGCAATTATTCAACAAAAGGTTTATTAAAACTCGGCAATTAAATAGAACCACTTGATTTTAAAAGCATATGTTAGTTTAAGCTTCTTTTCTTGCTTCAAGTCAAAACACGTTTGATAAAAAAGACAACTAAAACAATTTTAAAAAAATCAAAAAAATTGTTTTCTAAATAACTAAAGTTCAAAGTTTTATTAGCTGTATATCATAACTCCATTCATTCTCGTAGTACTTCATTCATTTGACATGAAGTTTATAAAAAAGTTGTTGTTTGCTGTTGCGCCATTTTTAATATTTTTCTTGGCGAATCTTGAAAATACTATATTTTAAATTATTATAAATGTATCTAATTGCGTCAACGTACAATGATTGGCGTTTAAGTACAGTCTTCTATGTCGTTTTGAATGATTGCGAAAAAAACCCTTTTAATTCTTTACGATAAAAATAGGCACAAATAGGTTTAATAAATATTTGTTGTTATTTTCAATACTTTTATCGATTACGTGTTCGTTGAAGTTTAAACTTTCTTTTACCTCTTATTTGCACTTGCAATGATATTTGTTTCAAATTTATCCAATCTCTCGTTGAGTATTTTTGTGTTCGCACTAACAATAGCAATTACTGTTTTTTTTTAGTTTTTAAATATAACTTCTGTTTCCTTATTAAAATCATCCAGCGTTTCTTTCATTATTTTTATTATTTCTTGGAGTATTACCACCATACTTAATACTGATAAGATCTTTTTAGTTAATGTTAGATTTGTAGATTTTTTAAATGTTTCTAAATTATCTTTAAATTTATTTGACTTTATTTATTCACTTTTCTATTCAAAAACTTCCATTCATTTATTTGAGAAAATTTTTTAATATTTTTGCTCACAAAAGCGTCTGCTCTCTTCGAAAGCTTGAATCCGTTTTAAAAGAAGAATAAATTAACGGGTCATGTAAAAATTTCAGATGTAAACAAAAAGTAGATATTCAGCTTGCAATGTGTATCTGCTGTCACTCAGCAGTTTCAACTGCTGCCCATTGAGTGAAATTATTTATAAGTTTGGTATAGGCAGTTCCCTGTAACATCTAAAACTCTACCACATTAAATGCACTAAAGTAATCCAGAATGTCATCTCATCATTTCTAGAAGAAATTTCTAAAGAAATCAAATCAAATCTGTTTTCTGTTCTCTTTGATGAATATACGGATGTGAGTTCAATCAAGCACCTTGCAATATGCGTCCCAGTGGGAAAAAAGATATCTTTAGACAAATAAAAGACGTCTTTTTTATGACTTGTCATGCCTTTTTATAGTCAGCCTAAATAAAGACGTGGAAAAAGACGTCTTTTAAAAAGACGTCTTCAAAAAAGAGGTCGAAAAGACGTCAATCGGTTCTACGTCTTTAATTAGACGTAGAAAAGATGCCTTTTATATTGATGACCTTTAATATAAAAACATGAGAAACTTGTCATTTAAACGCTAAATTAAACAACACCAAGAGAACTTTTTTTCATTAGGAAGGCGGAGAAAAAATTCACTAACGTTTCTCACTGAAAAACAACTTAAGTTGTTAGTAAGTAAATCATAATTTGCTTATTATAATTATAATAAATAAATTATTATTTGCTTATTAACAACTTTCGTTGTTAATAAGGAAATCATTATTTGCTTAAGAAAATTGAAAATAATTATTGCCAATAGAACCTAACAAAGTTTTAACCCACAGTATCGAAATTACGATATCTTTGTTACGTTCTAATTGGCCCGTTTTTTGTTTACAATACACTTTTATATACGTAAAACGTTTTTGCATAAAAAATTTAATTAAAAATCAACTATTTTCGGTAAGCGGGTATATTTTATAATATATGTAATGTAGTAATATATTATGTAATATGTTAAAATGTATTATGTTAAAATTATTTGCAAAACATTTGGTTTAGATAGAAAAGACCAAGTGAAAATGATACTGGAAAGGTACATCTAACCATCATTGCAGCTTTCTAGTCTTTATTATTGTTTATGTGTATTTCATCTGTGTTGCTAATGGTATCGCTAGTTTTTATGATTTTATGTTGCTAAGTAAAGCGTCATTATAACAGGCTAAAATAAAGTTTGATTATTAGTTTTATTGAGTTTAAATGAATAACTCTCAAGGTGTATTAGCTGAATTATTTTTTCATTATGATAGTGTTTAGTCAATAACGGATTTATTAACTTATTTTATTATTTTATTTATTTTATTAACGGATTTATTAATTTATTATTTATTATAACGGATAGTCTTTATTTATTATTTATTTATTATTTATTATAACGGATAGTCTCTATTTATTATAACGGTAGTCTTAACGGGTTTTTAAATTGATAGTCTTAACGGGTTTTTAAATTGTTATGAGTCTACAACACTTAATTTCACTCAAATTCAATTAAAAAGTCACGTCATAGAAGACAGAAAAGCAACATTATCTGTTTTCAATAACTTGGATTTCATAGCAAATCTGAGAGATGACAATGTTTAGCTTGGTTTAAATACTACATAACAAAATACATCGTTGTACAGTCATTTTGATGGTCGTAAATTTCTTTAGTACACTCAATTTTATTTATTTTTAGGCTGTTTACCGTGTGACTCCTGCCATATCTAACCTAGTGGGTTCAAAAAGAAAGGACCGCGCTGGAAACATGAGGGGGTAAAAGAATCTGCTCTTTTTGAATAAATAGTCGGTAAATCTAATGTGTTTCACTCAGCTTAACAAGATTCATTTGTTTTTTTTAATTTTTTTTTTTTTTTATTACATTTGAGCAATAGACTGTTTTTTATGTTCACTCGTTTTTTAGATAACCTGCTCGTATGAATGGATTTCTCGACGTGAAATAGTTACTTTTATTTAACAAAGCCAAGAAATAGAGCGCGCTCAAGAAACAGAAAAGAAAGAGAAAGATGAAAATATATTCTGTTGAACAATACTATTGTTTTATTTATAAAACATATGAAAGATCTAAAATAGGTTTTTTTCTCGGCATCGGAAGGAGTTTTTTTGTCATACTTTGTATGAAGAGCTATTATCATTTTCATTTGATAAAAACAGCTTTTCATATATGAAAAGTAGGAATACTATAGTGTATAGGATACTATAGTATACTAATAAGTATGAAAAAAAAGTCGTTCAGAAATGAGATTTCAGATTAGATTTGCATATTTGACTAAAAAAAGACGTCTTAAAAACATCGTAAATAATACTTTTAAAAACGTCTTTTCGACGTCTTTTTTCCCACTAGAATGAGATATTTTTCAGAGAAAGAGAAACAGATTTTCAATGACTTTCTCAGCCTCAATCAAGTAATTTCAACAACTGACAAAGATCTCTTTAATACTTTGAACTATAAACTCCACTCTATTGGAATAACACTTAAAAACTGTATCAGATAGAGTTCAGATTTAGATGTTTTTGACACACATAACTTCTGCTCAATTTAGTCTGCTCTCGTGTACTGACTAAATTGCCTAACTGTGTTATGATGAGTTGCACTTTTCACTGTCTAAATCTTGTGGTACAAATTGCTTTTAATGCAGTTCCATCTCCAGTCGGCTTTCTTCTGAGCGAGGTTCCCCGGTTTTTTAACAAGAGCATTCTTTGTTAAAACGAGTATGAAGAACTCTTTGAACTCATGAATCCAAATAATAAACGTGGAAACCCTATCGCTTTTTCAGAAGTTTACTGCAACTTGTTGGTTGGTTCGAGGAATATGTTTTCGTGGTTCAAACCCCACCTCTGGGCAAGTTTTGCGACATCGGTTGGGAAGGAGGCGTGAACTTCCTATTAAATGTTTTTACGCGGTGCTCTGTGATAAGACCGTAAGGACTTCTTGGGGCACCTTAATCAACTTAAAAAAAAAATAATAATGATAATTAACTTGTGAATTGGAAAGAACTGAAAGCATTTCTAATTTGTGCTGACTTGAATGCAAACTCTGAGGTCTGTTACAAAATCTTTTCAATTAGCAATATATTTCAAGACAGCACAAAAAGGTAAACTTTTTGTTTTTCTCACTCCAATCATCCAAGAGATTGAGCGGCTAAACTCTCTATATTAAGGGTGCAAATATTGATCCAGAAGATGTAATGAATGAGCTAATTATGCATCTCAAATGCTTAAATCAGCTAGTTTTTGATACCAAGGGGTTAGTACTCGCTTATCAGTGTGTTGATTTTGGAGTCAAACTCTCCTCAGAGTGCCAGATTTTCTTTCAAGAGCAACCTCCAAATACAAAACTGAATGCTGAAGAATCAGTCAAAAATGTAAAAATTCGCTGTCATGACTTCCTACAGAGGGCTTTAACCGAGCTTAAATGCTTCTAAAGAACAGATCAATTATTGACGGCTTGTCTAACCTGTCTCCAATGAAATTTCTTTCCCAAGTTGAAGAGGTTCCATTTTCAAATGTACCTTTTCTTTACCTAATAGGTACAAATAGTCAAGAAACTGAAAACCAATACAGGAAAGTCAGTATCGTTAAATAGACTGAGTCTGACAATTTTAAAGAAAAAGAAGTTCATAAAAATACTGCTAAATACTGTCGACATTTTTGGACATACCGCTTTTCGTGACATTTCCGACTGCTGCCTTGCTTTTCTGTGTGTTACTGTTTCTAACTGCTTTGTTGCGAGAGTCTTTTCAAAGGTCGTCTATGTGAAAAGCAAATAGAGAAACAGAATGCCAAAGAGTTTGATGTAGTCATTCGCATAAAATCTTATTTAATGAGCTGAAAGATTTGTTGTAAAGACATTTAACAGTCCCGAATCAATGATTTAAATAGTGGAAAATGAAATTTACGCAACAGATGAATGCGAGTATGACGACAATCTTCACATATTGGCGGAACTTTATTAAATGTTTTAGAGATAAATTCTTAACCAAATAAATTTTTGAATAAAATAGTGCTACTTTACTTCTTTTTTTTTTAGTTCTGGTTTATTTTTTATTTATTTTTGGCTTGTTTCCGAAAAAAACCTGGCAACCCTGATAAAAATTAGCATATAAATTTTCGGAAAACTAGCTCCGTGTCGTTATAGTCTGGTCGCTACATATAAAAAAAAAAGGAAAACTAAACATTTTGAGTGGACATTCTGATTTTTTCATAAATTTGTTCCTTATAACTTAAGAAGTTTAAAAATTTTTACGTGCCACTTGGAAAGTGCTTATAATTTAAGTTAGAGACAAAAATTGATGCAGCTTATTAAAAAGATTTCAAGCATGATATACCCGCCATATTGTTTATAAATCCAATACCGCAAAGCATTAATTTAGTTTTAACAAATTATTGATAGGGGGTTAATTGTTTGTAAAATTAGATGTTTTAAATATAATTACTCAAATCTATGTAACCAAAACTTCATATACCTTATTTTAAAAAAAATTTGTTCATAATTTTTTTTTATATTGTATTAAAAATATAAAATAATTTTAATCTAAGAAATAAAAAAATGTTCCCGTTCTTTGTTTACGTTAAAAAATGTTTACTTTTTATTTTTTTTTCATTTTATCGAAGTTCTTTTTGAAAGTAAAGAATTACCGTCATAAATAAAAGAAAAAAAATTAAAGCCATTTTTATAAATAAAACAAAATATTTTAAAATAAAATCATTTTAAAAGAAACGGTAAATGCAAAAATATAAAACATAAAACTAAAAAAACGTGTTTTATTCATATTAATTTATTATTATTAAACCCTTAGTCGGCAAATTGGACCTAGTTAGTCGGCAAATGTCGACCCTTCCGATTTAGGTTAGACAGTCGGCAAATATCGTCATGGCAGTCGGCAAATTTTGGAAAACGAGGATCTTTTTTTTTTTTTTTTTTTTTTTTTCAGTCGGCAAAAGTTGTAATGGCACCCCCCACGTGACACCAACTCGCGCCGGCCCTAGTCGTAATAATAACAAACTGCGTGGTTTTACTGAAAATCCGCTTGCGAAAGTGAAGACTTGTGGATTGTGACTTGCAAACCAAGCATTGTGACTTACAATGCTTGGTAAGTCACAAACTAAATGTACAACTCAGTTTATTTTTTTATATATGCCTTAAACAATGATACGGAAAAAACAATAAATAGCGTAAATTTGATAATAATGTTTTTTTTTTGCTATCGTCAAATTTGAAATAACTTTAAAATCATAAAAATTCTACCTGAAATTCAGGTCCGTATCCAGCATTTTTTTTTATTCGAGATATTTAACTTTTAGAAATGGAGCAAACTCCAAACATTTATATGTTTATACTTATGTCAAATAAGGATGCTTTGCAAAAATTTGCGATGATTGGAGCTTGGGAACAAAAAAGCCCCAAAATTCGTGCTTTCCCTGCCCTAAACGTGAGAGCAACAAGTTGATGAAATATTTTTGTACTATTTTTAACCAGACTTAAATTTATCGATAAATTTTAAATTTCATAGTAAAATATTTCAGCGTTCAATAATTATAACAAAATAAAATTTGTGACCCTCTCAAATTAAGGATGTTTAAACTTGGGTCATAAATCTCGAAGTCCAAATGCTGGATACGGACATGCTGATACGTGCCCAACAACTTTCTTATTTCATCAAAGATGTTACGATAAGTATGTGAATATAATAACATTAAACATTTTATAACATTGGAAAAATAGAGCAGAAAATGTCAACGAGAGTGTAGGCGTGGATAATGCATCCTCATTTAAGCGTAGAATCTCAGCTCGGAAACGAGATAGATCAGGTAAATTAAAAAACCTTTTAGTGTGAAATGCAAAGCAAAGAATATTTTACGTTTTTTTATGTTTTATGTACTACTTCAAAATTAAATAATTCCTTTGTTTCATGAAAAATTATTGCGGATGAAAAGTGTTGCATTTGCTATTGCAAAAAGAGTAATAAATATAGGAACGGATATAAAACGTTTACACCCAATGGGCACCGGACCTAAAAAAGACGTCTTTTTAACGTTTAAAAGACGTTCAAAAGAGGTCTAAAACAAGTATAAGACGTTTTAAAACGTCTTTTTTACGTCCGTGCCTACTGGGCACGGACGTAAAAAAGACGTAAAAAAGACGTAATTTGTAACAGAAAGTGCAGCAAACATGATAAAAGTAAACGCTTAAGTAAAGCTGAAAAACCAGCTAGTATATTGGGCAAACCATAATTTCCTTAGAGTTATACTATCATTGGACTTGTTACCTTAACTATACAAGACCCCAAAAAGTTTCTTTTATTTCAACAGAAAATGCAATTATGCGTTTTCTCTTCGATTATGTGACAGAACACGTATTAGACAATTTAGAGATTACTCATACAAGTAAGCTATTTGAATTTTAGAAGGAAAACTGCACAGATAGAGCAAAGATTCTAGATAAAAAGACTTTGCAGGATGCTGTAGTTGCAGAACTTGCGGGTCTGTTCAGTTGCGGTCACCAAAATAGGGTATTCTTTCTTATGCAACAATACCATTTAGAAGGGGAAAATAATCCAAAACTGATTGAACAACTTATTCATCATGTCGCACAAAAGATTCGCAACGAGGTTTTGTCTTTAAAAAAAACATACTTTAAACTGCCTATATATAATGCATCTATTGGTTTCGAAACCGTTTGCATTCACACGGTTGACACAGATACTGCTATTTACGCTTTGTACTTTCAAAACCAACTTCAAATAGAATTATTTGTGGATATTGGCGTCAAATAATGAAAGACGGACTCTTGATATAAATCTTATTGCCTCACAGATAGGTACTGATTGTTGTAAAGCTCATCTTGCTCTTCATGCATTTAGCGGGAACAATTATACAAGTGCATTTTACGGGATTGGTAAGTCAAAGTTTCTCAAACTAATGAGACAGTCTGAAGAGTACAAGTCAATTTTTCCAAGGTTGGGGACTCTTATACCTTTGATGTAACCCATTTTGACCAAATCGAATAGTTTATATGTCAGTTATAAAAAT